TTTGGAGTCAGTGCAAAAATTTTAACATGTTTTATACAATCTGTAAATTACAATATCTGATTCTATATTCTTTCGAGAAAAAAACAGCGTTTATTTCGTTCGTTTATCACAGAAATTGCAGAAATAGGAGCAAATTTAGTAAGTGACTTCAATTTTTACGGATTTCTAATCGCGGGTATTTAAATTTATTCCGTATGGCTGCCTATACCGGAATTTAAATGCCCGTAGGATAAAGGTTAAGAGTGCATCTGTCCAGCCTTTGTTATTACCTACGCAACTCAGAAGTGTTGTGTCTGGTGAGATGCACAGTTTGGTAGTATGTTTATACTCATGTACAATAACACTAGTGGAGTGCCCACTAAAAATTTAACTGGAAATTTAGACAGCTCTAGTTTCTGAATGTGCTGTCAACATATTACACTTCATTGATCCACTCTCATACATGATGGACCTTGAAGGACACTTTGAAATCACTGTTTTGCTGAATATGCATGCAGTGAATCTGATCTGTAATAACAGCTTTATAGTAATAGTAATAGTATAGTAATATAGTAATGGTGGTGAAAACAACAACAACAACAACAGGAGAAAGAGGAGGAGGAGGACACTAACAGTCATAATCTGGAGGTATCCTTCTTCAGTAAAGCTCAGCACTGTAATACAGTGAAATACCATTTTAATGAACACTAGAGTAATGAAGTATTCACTAAAACAAGATTCATTAGTAGATGCCACCTGTTCACTAGCTATTGTTGTGTAAAAAGTTTTCACTTTAATAAATACCATTATGACAGAAACACCATAAAACAATAAGAAGTCATCCAGCTCTGAGTAAATATAATCAATATAATGAAATCTGTAAAAACAAACTCATTGAACAATACAGTGCACACTTTAAGCAGTCTGATGCAGCATGTATGGTATGGAGATGGAGGAAAGAACAAGGAGTTACAAGTGATCATAAAGGTTTGCACATTATTGTGACCTGCAAGAATGTACACATCGGTCATGACCATGGTGTGGCATGGGAAGACCCTAGATAAGAACCCATCTAAGCTGCAATCCAAGAATGCCAGCCAAGTAATGCTTTCCACCCTCCTACCATGCAACAGCGGTCATTGGATTTTTTTCAGTTGACCTAATCCTTCTGGCTGCACTAGGCCCTGGGGTTTACTCAGCCTCTAACAGAAATGAGTACCAGGAATTAATTAAATGATTTTCCTGGGAAGTAAAGCGCGGCCGGCGCGTAAGGCTGACAGCCTTACCGCCATATTTGAGCCGATTGTCTAGATAATGTGGGACCCTTAACGTCTCACAACCCTATGGGCCTTCACGGCCTGTTACAGGGATAGCTTTACTTTTTTTTTTTACCATGGAACAGCATTGCTTAAGGCATGTTTATATTTGTTGTTTTGCTTGACCTAAGCCGCACAACCAAAACTGAACATTGAAACAAGTGTTTTGACTTAATCAGTTGGTAAGAATTTTGATGTGACCGAAGTAGGAAAGGCTGTTTACATTGGCCATACTTAGTAAAGTGATGCTATGTTTCAGTATGTCGGTGAGAATCTTGAGTCGACTGAAGTAGAAAGAGACCCTCTTTTCATTCAGTTCATTCGTTGCTCCATGACAAAATCATCTGTGTAAACATCTGTAGTATAAGCCCTTTTGCTTATTATTGTGCGGATTATTTGTCTCTCCAGTCATTCATTGCATTTTATTGCAGAATTTAGTAAAAGACTGGGTGAGAGAATGAATACTTACAGCTTTTGGTATGGTTATCTGTTCAGTGGGCATACAGATTGGAATCAGTGTAAATACACCTTTCTGGCTGAGCTGCCATGTGGTATCTGTGGTTAGTAGAGAAGCGAGAAGAATGTGATGAGGATTTTCAGATTTTGAGAACTGCGTTGTTGTAGATATGGAGTGATTATAAAGTAACTGACACCATTGCACTGTAAGCAGCACTAGCATCCAGCAGCAAGCTTTTTGAAGCAGTTTCAATCCACGTGTTATCAGTGGCCGCTCGTAACTAAAATTAGTGGGGGTGCTGCTCCAGAAAATTTGTAGCCTTTGTTTTAAAACTGTATAAAAGGAAACAAACATGTATAAAAAGAAAATTTATTCAGAAACTTGATAAAATCCTAAAAGAACAAAATCAAAGATTTTTTACTTTAACCTAAATTGTTACAGTTCAAGCTTAATCTATTCATTTAAAAATGAAATCCATTCTTCTTGTTTTAATTTGCGCGAAAAGATCAGTAATTTTCTCCTTGATCTCTGAATGACAACTGAGGAAATTTTTCTTCATTGAAAGCACTGCAAGCGCATTTAGTCTTTCTGAATTCATAGTGCTTCTTAGAAAAGTTTTTATTCTTTT